AGCAGTAGTAGTAGTAGTAGTTTCTATAAGTAATAGTATCACGGCCTGGTTGCTTCAGATTTCCTGAGTTTGTTATTACATTTACAACAATGCATCATGTAATCGTGTCGATTTTTCAGAATACCTGAGATGGTAGATCGCTCCCTTGCGAAATTTTTAAGTTTCGAGAGAAAAAGAAAAAGAAAAAACTGATTCTTCTGAGAGTGTCACGTCCTCCCTTCAAACTTCAATCATCAATAATTGCATGATCAAAAATTTAACGCACGACAGAACAACATTCGTCAATCTTGTAATGCAATTTAAGAAGAAGAAGAAGAAGAAGAAGAAGAAACGGAACGATGATTCGATCGATATTAAGCAGGACGATATTTAATTATAATTATTCGTATAATTATTCGCAAGTCTTTTTCGAAAAGACACGATTCGCGATTCGACAATGGTCTCAGGTTTACATTGCTCTCGCTCGAGCCACGATGATATCCTCTATAGCGAGGATATCCGAAAGACTTTGCCGGATTCCCTTTATTCCGGTAGGCAAGAGAATTTCAGAGACGGTTTATTTGCATTTCCCCCCTAAGAACTCGAACGAAACGTTCCCGACTGGCGAACTATTCGCGAAAGGTTTAGCCGCGTTTACGGCGTCGTTAATCCGACTTTATAATCACCGTAAAGCCACGCGGAGACGAGTGCACTCGCACGATTCGGCATTTACGAGCGCCGGCACGCTCGCCGTTTATTATTGTCGATACCGAGAGAGCCGCGGCGGCTCGCCGATACGGAAGACGAGTGTTCTGTCGTGCGTTCACCACCTTTTTCTCTCTCATCCTTCTTTCTATTTTCTTTGACCGAAGAATCAGCCAAGAATATATTTCATTCGCTCCTCTTCGCTTCGATTCGTTTCGCGATATTTTTCAAGCGATCAAAAGTGTTTGTTCGTTGCCAGTTGAGCCAGTTTGTTCTTTTTTTCTTTCTTTCTTTCTTTCTTTCTTCTTTGTTTATTTTTTTTTTTTTTAATTTTTTAATTTTCTTTTTTAACAGTTTTCCAATTTTTAATCGATCGGTTAGGGGAAAGGGGAGCGTTTTCCACGATTACGTTCGCACGATTGTCTCTCTAACAACTATTGCAATACTGTAGTTGGTGGTTATTTTATTTCCAAATGACTATTGCGAACTACGTTCAACGGACTATTTTTTTTCAACCCGGGGATACACCCGACTGAAGGGTGGGATGACGGGGTGCTGGCGCGATAAAGGGGATCGTTCGTGTAAAAATATTTTAATATGTATATGTACATTTCGTATATACATACAATATATTTCTGATTGTGTATATATATATATATATAGATATAATTATTTATATGTATATATAGCTATATAAATACTGTCGTAGAAAACTATGATCTGCAGGGAGGGTATCGTGAATATCTGTCACTTTAAAGGGATAGACGAACGCACCCCGCCAACCCTTTTAACTATAATGTTTGCTTACGTGCCTGTACGTAAACGTGTGTGTATATGTGTGTGTATGTGTGTGTACACGCATTTGCAGCGTTCGATAAATCTGTACATGTGTCAGTGTACATATATATATTTCAATGTGTGTATTGTGTGTACGTGTTTGTATATAACATACATTATCGCGACGATTGATCGAAATCGACGCTCGTATCTGTACAGTTAAAGAAAAAAAAAAAAAAAAAAAAAAAAAAAAAAAAAAAAAAAAAAAGAAGAAGAAGAAAAACAAAAAATTGACAAAAGATTAAAAGAAAAGCGAAGAAGAAAGTCTATCGACGAGATCACTTGTGTTGGATTCATCAACTTTTCCACGCGACTACGATCAACGCGTGTACGATTTGTTGATCGTCATGGATGGTTATTGAAATAATTAAGGGGAGACGCTTTCTGTGCAATTTTTCTCCGGTGAAGAAACAGCGAAAGAATAATGACGACGAAAACGAATGGAAGAAAAAAAAAGATAAAAAAAGATTAAAAGGAAAAAGAGAGTCTTAAATCTCGTCGTGTTTGATTAATTATTCGCAATGGCACAAAGAAAAAAAACGATCAAACCCTATTTTCCATTTTCCTCCCTTCTTCGTTCCGATCCGGACAGACAGTTGTCACAAACGCGTATAACGATACCTAGAAAACCTTTTAGCTTCCTCCTTCGATCGATGTCCACTATATTTTCTTTTTTTTTTTTTTTTTTTTTTTTTTTTTTTCTTATTTTCCATTATCGTTTTGTTTTCTTCTCTTTAAGATTCTTCTCCTCGACAAACATCGCGAATAAATTTGTACTCTGCGAAGAATTTCCTCTTTTTTTTTTTTTTCTTATTTATTTACTTATTATTCTTTATTTTTCTTCCTCCGGATTCCTCCCTCTTTTTTTTTTTTTATTTTTAATTTGAATTTTTATCTTAACCCTTCTTTCGCAACACGATCGCACCTGATCCGTAATATTTATAGAGAGCTTTCTTCAAGGCAAGAAGTGGTTTCTTTGTACCGATTAGACCTGGATTCGCGTCTCGATCGATCATATTCCCGCATTCTCTCCATTCTACGATAAAACACGTCTATCCACGAAGCTTTCCACCGTGCAAATTCGCGCAGCGACGACTCGTGAATCTTTCTGCGAAGCGAACGAGCGATTAAAAATTTCATCTGTCCGTAACAAGCGTTAAAAATAACACGGATCGGAGGACGCACGATATCGATTATGATTCTACTATTTTTTTTTTTTTTTTCCTTTTTCTTTCTCTACAAAGATCTACCCGTGGCCTCGTCTCCGCGGATTCGTATACAAGTATTTTTCGATCGTATACAAATACCCCACCGTGCACGTATGTATGTACAATATAAAGATTTAAAAAATCGAGGAATCTCAGCGTCGAACTTCTTCAACACCCTGCCTCTTCTAATTCTCTTATCCTGATAATTCTGTGAACATTGTTTCAATACGATCAATTCTCTCTTAATTATTGTCGCGGATAAAAAGTTTATACTCTTCGATTGGTAAGCTTAAAATCTCTAATAAATAAGATCTCGAGGATTCGTCGAAAGGGAGTTCGGTTTTCGACGCTGCTCATCAAAAAATTTGCTCGTCTCGCGCTCGATCCACGATCGATCGTCGGTTTCTTTTTTTCTCTCTCTCTCTTTTTTTTCTTTTTCTTTTTTTTTTTTTTTTTTTTTTTTTT